TAATACTTTAATAATGTAAAAATATAAATGTCGTGTAGCTTTCATTAAATTCACTTAAAATAATTGGTGCATTTTAATGGTACTTCTATTTTTATTGAAGATAAACTAGCCAAGAAAGGCACAAATCTTAAGTACACCTCATTGTATTGTTTGGTGTATTTATGGACTTACATGACCACAATCCACAAAGTTTAAAATGTTTTCAGAATTCCAGAAAGTTGTATTTTGTCCCTTCGCAGTCATTACTGTGCTCAAGGAGGACGACTGTTTGGCTTCTATTCAGCAGGTCAGATTCTCCTCTGGCTGTACAGAGCCCCTCCCCCAGAAGGTTGCAAGCTCAATTCATTGTCTCTAAACTTGCTAAAACTGTAACTCTGCTTCTCAGAGGCTTTCTGCTTAGGTACTTAATGGGTACTTAACCATTCCTACAGTTCACTGAATTTCTTTAGTTAAAAAGCAGTCGCTTTATTAAATTCCCTCATAGCATCCATAAACCTTCTTGGTTTCTGTCCCCAGCAAATGTCCTTCACAGGGAAAAGTCCAGATCTTTATTCTTCTGCTCAAGTCTGGAATGCACAAATTATCCTAGGTTAAAATTTTTGGCTACTCTTTCTGCTTCTCCTCTCACTGAAGTGTTTAGTACAGCAGCTAAGTGCAGATAACTTGTAAATTTTGTCCAGATAGACACTAGAATGTTAGCTTATCATAAGCTACTCTCCTCTTCCCAGAGGCAGTATTTCCATGCTTTTGGAAATCCAGTCATTGTAGATTTGAGAATAGTGAGGTCTGTAAGACTCCTGTGCCTAAAGAGTTCATTATATAATAGGGGAATTAGACACATGAAGAGTAAATTACAAATTGGCCATAGTGGTACATGGCTGAAATTCCAATACTCTGGGAGGCTGAAGCAAAAGGACTGTAAGTTCAAACCCAGCCTAGGCAATTTAGTCACTTAGCAGATCTGTTTCAAAGAAAAGCAATAAAAAGGGCTTGGGATGTAGCTCCATGCAAAAGTTCTGGGTTCAACCTCCTGTACCAAAGAAAAGGGAATTACAATGAAAATAACAATATACATAATTAATAAAATAAGTATATTTAAAACATTTACACAAAGTATTGAGAGAGCTATGGATGTTACTGGTTTTTTTCTAATATGTTAAGTGAGATTCCATGGAACTATATGAATCAAATTACTAAAACAAGGAAGATATCCTAATTAGCAAAGTGGAACACTGATATTCCAAGTAGAAGAAATAGCATAAACAACACGCACACATACACACTCTCACACACACACAACACAGAAGCATCAAAACTAAATGTGTACTGTATTTAGGGAAAAATGAATTATTTGATACTGTTGGATAATGATGTATTTGGGGTTTTGTGGGGGAATTTTGGAGTAGAGGAGGAATTTCTATACTTTAGAATATACAGGAATTAGGGAGCACTCTTGCATCTTCTTTTGATCAGTGAAGTTCAACAAAATGGTATACAGTGTTCCTTTGCCTTCTGACCTTAGCTTACTTTATGTAGAAAGGAGCCAGGAATAAAGAAATCACTCCTTTCAGTATGTGTATGAGTAGGATTTTGGTATAAATCAATTTTGCTTTGTAAAGCTTCAAAAGGCAAAATTACATGAAAGCATTTGATGAGGGAATGGGTCCTCAGGTCTTCGCAGAGAGAGAAGACTCTGTCCTTGATCACTGGCACGGAACCCATGGGCATGCTCCCTTCGCCAAAGAGCTGGGAGCCTGACACACAAAAACTAGCAGAAACATTTATTGCCTTTATCATTTCTGGCTGTCCTAACACCGAATTAATATACTGTTTACACGGTATAACTCTGTCAGCACTGGAATCCAAAAGTCAGTGAGAAGGCTTGCCAAGGTCTTTCACGTGGCACCCAAAGATTGTGACCAAGACACTGGCTGGGACTTGGACGAAAGGAATCCGGAAAGGGAGCTGCCATTATGCATCAGCCCCTCTGCTTGCCAGAAGGGAGTCATTTCAGGATGCAGAGACTGGGGTGCAGAAAGGCTGTCAGAGAGTTCCTTTGGGTTAAAAATAATTTCAGAATATTAATTGTGTTGAAAATACTTTGACTTTCCTAGTTAATATTTATACCTACTGAGTTTTAAATAATTACTACTTGAAAATATAAGCCATGCAGATATTTTAAGGGAAAATAGAGACCGTGGTTGTTAATTCTTTTTCAGACCAGTATGTTAAATGAAGAAGCAGTTTATTATTGGTGTTGCTGCTGGCAATAACCAAAATTCAGTGAGCAAATCCCAAATGAATAAAATTCAAGGGTAGAAAGTCTGGCTGTGTGTTTAGCTACACTTTTCCCGGGGTCTCTATTTTAAAGACTCATCTCTTTTTACATCTCGGAGGTGTGCTCCTTCTTTGTAGTGTAGGAGATGCCTCTCACACAGTTAGGGTTAGAACACTGGCTGCAAAAACAGGACCTCTTGTAAAAGCTACTTAAGGTTGGATTAACTGACAGAATCAAGGCCTGCACACCCTGCACACATTCTCTCTACGTCACAATCTCCAGAACAATTTTTTCTTGAGTAAGAAAATGACTTTGACTTCCAAAGAGTACACTGAGACTCAGGATAGATGGCCCCAGTACCACTCTGGGAAAACAGCGTGGCAGAGTGGGAAACGGAGTCCACACTAAAATGTGCTAAATACTATAGTGAGTGAATGGAAAATGAGTGAACAATAAACCAGTGCATGAAAAAGTTATTTGCACATTTCTGCATATGTGTTTTGCAGCACTCAAGTCATTTATGCATGCTTTGTCTGCTCTTTTAGAATGACAACTGCCAGGGGGCAAAAACCACCAAATCAGATAGGCTGGATTTCCAATGGTAGGAACTAAATGTTTCCTCCCCTTTTGATCTTCCCTAGGTCTCTCAGGCTCTTGTTAACTAGTTCCTGGGTTGGTCCTCCCACCTCTTTCAGCAGAAATGTGTTAGGATCTGACTTTTCCACACCGTTAGCTATCAGAGAATAACTGTTCATAAGGGTGACTCCCCGAAGTCTCACAGGCAGATTCTGACACAGTCACTGCCCCAAAATACTGCCTCTAAATCAATAGTTGGATCACACAGTGAGGCTGGGACTAGGAAGAGGCAGTCAGCCAAGGAAGGAGAAAAATTTTATTAAGTGAAACACAAATGTATTAGCATGGGAAATTGGAGAGAAGCATCAAAAGGAGTCACTGGGGAAAGAACTGAGGTAGAAACTGTCAGCCATGGGGCCCACTTTTGTGAGGATAGAACCCCAGAAGATGCCCAGATACTTTCTTTGCCTTAGAACATGAATGTAGCCATAATATTGGCAAAGCTAGAGACTGGGGAGGGTGGAATCTCTTTCATGCCCACCTGAGAGAGCATCAAGGTGGCACACAGGAGAAGCCAAGGTGACATATAGAAGGAGCATTGTATTTGTTGAGTAATTTGATGGGAACACAAGATGTTTCATTGGCTCCTGTGTAGATGGAGGAGGGGGCGTCCTGGAACTGGAAGAAAGGGGAGCAGGAAGAAGAGGCAGCTCCATCTGGCAGCCGGGATGATGGGCAGGTGGCATCTTCCGCGCATCATCTTCCGGGATGATGGGCAGGTGGCATCCCCAGTGCATCTTCACTTCTGCTTACTCTTGGGAGCTTGCTGGGCTGAGGGACACTTCTGCTGGTCTGTGCCTTTGGGTGGACATTGCTTCTTGGTCTGGGGAGCACATGGATCCTTGGTTTGGGGTGAGCAGGTCTCTTGACATTTGACTGGGGGTGGCTGGCACGGCTGCTTCATCTGCTGCTGCTGGGCCTGCTGGGGCGGGCACTTTGAGTGCTGCTGTTGCTGAGAAGACATGGCTCCAAGAAGAGATAAGCCTGAGGGAAACCTGTGCAGTGACACCATGAGAAGGGCTCCCTCCATCACTCCTCTCTGACTCTTATAGAAATATTTCTCTCCAACTGCCAAGCACTTGATCTGCGACTAACAACTTCAAGCTGATTAATGGGTTGATTCCCAAGCACCCATTGTGATCTCCCTTTCTTTCTTTCTTCCTTCTTTTGTACTAGTCTTATTCCCTTTTTCCTTCATTCTCCCATGAACTCTTGACTTGACTGAACACATGATTTATTTCTCGGTCTTACTAGGAAATAAAGTGAGGTGCTGAGTTCAAGATTAAAAAGAAACCCAGGCATTTACAAGTCCAAGACATTCTATCTTCGCTAAGGAATCTGGGTGATGTCAGCTGGCTACCTTGGAAGAGGCAGATAGGGAGCATAAGCAAAGAAAGGAGGGCTTGAGAAAGGAGATGAGTGACCTCTGTCTTACAGGGAAGTGCTGCGTAATGATGGGGCTGGAGAAAGGGTACGCAAGGAGCACAGATGTCCGAGTTCTACCTCCCTCCACCTCTGACTCATGAAAGATGCTCGGAAGTCATTTGAAGTGACTATAAGATGGTGATTCTTGCTTTCCGTGGAGAATCAGAAATGGGGGAAGGGGAGGACCCAGTAGATCCCTGGAGGCAAAGGACCACAGGAGAATGTTTCACCCAAAGACACAGCCTGGCTCAAAGTAAAGAACAACAGCCAAGCAGGCTCAGCCATGGGCTCTGACGCGAATCTGCCACTCGCTTTCTGGAATCCCTGTAGATATCCTGCAATTCCTGAACCTTTAAGAAAAGATCACATAGGTAATAAGCAACAGCCCTTAAGGGAGGATGCAGGTTTGGTAGGTCCTTGAGGCCCGCCCAGTTCTGTTGAATGCCTCTGGCTTTCTAGGTAGGCAGCCTACTTTGGCTTCTAAATCGGTGATTGTAAATGGGAAGGATAGGCCCCCAAAAGTGGAGAGATGACAATCAGAATAGTAAGAAGTGAGGCCTGCATAGTATGAAATACAATATCCAGTTTACCTTCTCTAAACCTAAAAGCAAAGTTTTGAGCTTGTTGGTGGGGGCTTTCAAGTAGGGTTCAGAATTGTTATAAAATGCTGTAACTGTAAATAGTACCCTTTCAATTAGAAAAATCCTCTTACTAAGGAGTCCAGCCCCAAATCAGGAAATAAGTCATACTTAGCCATGGTGTGGGAATGGAGATTAAATTTCACAAGTAATAATTAGCATAACATCTCCATAATTGTTAGAAGACTGTGTCATTTTGCTGATTACCCAAGAATAAGAGAGGAGCTTGGCCTAGCGGCTCTGGACAGTTCAAGAAGGAAAGAGGCCAGAAGATCCCAGAGGACAAATTTGCACTTACTGGAGGCAAAGAGCTGGGCCCTGGGAGAGAAAGCTGAGGGCTGGCTTGGGAGCAGCCTTTCTGAGAACCCTTATAAAGGCCCCCAAACTGCCCCAGGCCCTTGGTGTGGCCCTGATAACCACCTTACAGAGAATTCCTCACCCACTTCTCCCACCTGCACATCCTCCAGGGACTTGTTTTATGGGCCTGTTTAGATGGAAACCACCCACCAGATAATTTCAGCACTAGGTCCTTCTGCACAAGCTGATTGTACCCACCAAAGTTGTTTCCCAAACTCAAAAGCTTTTAAAAACAGAGCAGTGCTGAGATACTGTTTTCAGACAGCAAGTATTAAAATACTTCATGGAAGGAGGGTAAAGAGAGGAAGGGCAGAGTTTACAGGATTTCTGAGAAATTGCTATCTTTTTTTTTTTTTTTTCCTAATCTCTGGTGCCTAGCAGTGAAACACTTTTATGCTTATTATTTCACTTCATCTTTATGGTCAAGGTAGAAGTGCCATTATCACCATTTTAAAGATGAGAAATGAGGCTTAGAAGGATCACACAGGAAGTGACCGGCAGAGGTGGGATTTGAATTCAGATCTGGATGATTTAAAGATTTTTAAACATGATAAAGGTAGAAGTCAATAGCTGGCCACAGATGCCATCTGTGTCCCTCTTATCCCCAGTACCCAGTGCCTATGTGTTTCCTGATCTACGTGGCTTGCCCTGGAGCCAGAGCAGAAGGGCATGTGAAAGGAGCCCCAGCGTGTAGTGGTGCTGTCCCCACCTGCCCCCCGGGAGATGGGCTGCAGTTGGGTCTGCCCAAAGAGGGTGAGACATAACGTGGTCTCTGTGGTAGACTTGCCACATAAAATATGAGGTTTGGTAAAATTTGAGTTTTAGGTAAACCACAAAGTTTTCTAGAGCATATCCCAACTATCGCACAAGTCACATGTACATTAGAAAATTATTTATTTGAAATTCAAATTTAAATGGGCAGACTGGGTTTGGTTCAGTTTTGTTTTGTTTTGTGGGTTAGGTAATGAGGATTGAACATAGCGCCTTTACACTGAGTCGTGTTCCCAGCCCCCTTTTTACATTTTATTTTATATTTTGAGACAGGGTCTCATTAAGTCTCTGAATTGCCCAGACTTGGCTGGAACTTGTTTTCCTCCTGCCTCAGCCTCCCAGAGTGCCGGCATAACAGGCATGGGCTACTGTATCTGGGGGGCTGTATTTTTATTTACTAAATCTAAAACTCTACTCAAGGACATACTCGGACGAGAGGAACGAACCCTGGTCCTGCACTTGGCACCTGGTCCTGGGATGGAGGAAGACAGGTCAGCTCTGGAAAGCTGATCCACCATCGGCCACCTTCCCAAGCCTCAGGATCCTGTCTAGTGAGAAGCCATCAATGTGATCATGTCTGTCATTTTCACAACCAAGAGAAAGACTGCCTGGAAAAGGACAGGAACACCTCTGAGCACTTTCCAAAGCATTTCAAATTCCTTGCCTTATTTAATCCTCATGGAAATTCTGTTGTATAGTGTGAATCAGATTTTACAGTGGAAAACGCCAGCTCCAAGTAGTTGAATGAAACATCCCAGAAAATGCAGTTGGTAGAGATGAGGCTGGGTGGGGGCCCGGGCCAGGGTAGCTTTCCAGTACAACCAGAGCATCTCCCCACTGGAAAAGTGCTTGTCACTGGGTGGGTACCGTGACTAACAAGCTTTTCTGAGCTTTCCGTCACATGTAGACCAAATATTACTCATTGTTCAGAGTCATCCTCATTTAAAAGTTAACCCTTCCCTTAACTTTCCCCTCCAACCGGATCTCCTCCACCCTCCACTCCCAAGCTTGTCGACATGAGGAATGCAATTTTCTGGGCTTCCGCTTTGGGGTTCTGCATCCCATCCCATTCTCCACTCAACCTGTACCCCAACTTCTCCTCTCTACCTGCACCCCTCATTTCTTCTCTCCCACTCTCTTGTGCTTACCCTGACCTAAAATGTCCCCGGTGACCCCAGGCAGCAAGGCAGGCTTGGCCCTAAGCAACGCATATTCACAAGCCGGACACCTCCAGAGCATCAATGCACGCACATGGCCTCTGAATGGCGGGCAGATCCACTCCCTCGCTTCTCACCCACACGACTTCTCTGAGATGAGCTGCAGTCCTCTTTACTCTTCCAGTTCCATCACTGGCCTCTTACTTTATCAGTAAATAACTTCTGATTAACTTTAACTGATTAACTTTGAAGAATTCTGTCTAGTGAGAAAGACATGGCTTATAATACAATTATTGCCTCGGAGGATTCTCTAGGAGATGCAAACCTAACCATGGTGGCCCTGAAAAGACCATGTCTGCCATCATGAAAGCCTAACACACGACCTCATGTGTATTTAACACACTGCACCTTTGCAAACCTTGGCACTCAGTTTCCCTGTTGGACCCAATATCCCAGTGTTGTAGAGAGGAAAACTAGGACTTGGAATGAGGACATGCCTTGCCCAAGGTCACACAGAGATTAATGTCAAGGCCAGGTGTTTTTATGTTTTATAGAATTTAGTGGCTAAGAAAATGCACCTGTGCCTGGCACGGTGGGGAGAAGAATCAATCAGAGTCTCCCAGAGGAACGAGGGTCAGGCGCAGAGGGCAGCTGATCCACCATATGCGTTGGATCACGGGTCTCCTGACTTGGCTACTTTCAGCCAACTGAAGAACTGACCTCCTGGGCAGCTTCTTAGCAGAGGCTCCATTAAGAGTAAATGAGGGTGCTGAGTTTGGAGGCCTCTGCCCTTTCTCTTCCCAAGTCTCCTCTTCCTTTGTCCGTGATACTCTGCCCTCTGCGCCTGCCCCTCATTCCTCTGGGAGACTCTGATTGATTCTTCTCCCCACGGTGCCAGGCACAGGTGCATTTTCTTAGCCATTAAAGTCTATAAAACATAAAAACACCTCCCCTCACGGTGTTCACAATATGCTATGAAGAAAGTTCATTGTGTTATATATTTTTTAAATATGAGAAATGGCTCTGATGATGGTTGGGTTTGGAATTCAGTGGAGGTTGGGGGTAACCCAAATTACTTAAAACTGTAATAGCTGGTTTTCAGACACCGTAACTGGCTGGGGCCAGTTTCAGAGGAGGAGGGGAGACTTCTTGGCACCCTTCATGTCACCCTATGTTAAACAACACCTCCGGGCAGGGTGGGTCTGGAAAAGCTGTGAGAAACTGCGCCTCTGGTCCCCATTCCCACCCCTACCAGCCCAGCCAGCCACAGTGTTGTAGGCAGTTAGATAGAAATATTGTAGGCAGTCAGACAGGGCCAGGCCTTCGAAGGAGTCAATATGGAAGAAAAGATACCTTGCAACTGTGGGAGAGACAGGCACTTCCACTGTGGGCCAGACCTCAAGACAAAAGATTAAACAGAAGCACCCACATACCTCCCTAGGGATGGACATCAGAGACTGATATTCTAAATAGGTAGCAATCATCTTGAAAAAGCTAGGAAGAGTCACTAACCCAACCCCCTACAGGAAAAGCCCGTTTGTATTCATGCCCACTTACTATGTGACTCCTTCCCCATTTGATCACGATTTAATCAATTTTACCTGAGCAGTTATACTCATAATCTTATTGGTTGAGCATAGTTTTGTCCCACCTCATCTCCACCTTGCAAGTTCCCCTGTTTGCCACCTTGGACCTGCCTCACCTCATGGCTTTGCACTATAAAAATCCCTAGAAAGGGCAGGTTCCTTGGCAACCCACTCGGGTCTCCTGTCTCTCTCAGACAGAAGCTTTCTTTCCCCAATAACTATATTCTGCTCTTAACCTTCCTTGTTCCTAAAATTCATTCTTCAATTGTAGAGAACATGAGCTCGTCCCAGATGGGTTTCTTTCCAGCCCATGTCCTGGCCCCTCTGGTGTCCTCCATCTCCTCCTTCAGCTTCAAAGGACCACACTGTACTGCACCGAGAAGCCAGGCTCTGCGTCTTCCCACTCTAGGGAGTAGCACCTGAGAACAGGTGTGTGCCTGTGACTCCACCAGGGAGGGGAGGGCACAGGCCAGCCTCATTTCTGGGGTGAGTCAAAACTTGAGAAACTCTAGCCCCACCCTGCGGGTAAACAACCTCGTGACTGGGAGGCAGAGGTCTGGGCGCTGGGAAGCATCCTTAGAGACAATGCTAATTATTTAACCTTCATGTAGAAATATCTCCACTTTTGTCTCTGGGCACTGGGGAAAAGAGAGGTGGTTGATGGCTTCCTCTGAAGACAAGTGGAATTAATGCATTCCGCTATGAGAGGCTTTCATTCAAGGAACCATATGTTGGGTAGATACAGTCAGGCTTGGGGTTGCCTGTCCAGTAATGATACTGTGTACTTGTGGCTCTGCAAATGAGGAATAAAGTTGAGAACCAAAGGAAGAGGTTAGGAGAGTTTTTTATTGAAAGTAAAGAGATAGTGAATAGCTCCTGATTCCTAGGAGGGTCCTGAATGGAGTGGCCACATGGCTCCTAGATCTAGAGATAATTATAGATAACAGCACACAGTTTAGTGGTCTTTTATCACAGGTGGCTCTGTGAGTTTAAAATGATCAGTTGGGACTCAGGTTTCTAACCCAGTTTTATGACATGTAGGGTTTACAGGAAACTGAATCTCAGTTTAATTTGCATTGTAATTTCCTCAAATTTCTGGAACTTACTATGACATAGCTGCACCTCCCTTTAGTAGAGGATGGGCTGCAATCTGTGCTGTCTGAGGAAGTTCATTCTTGGTCCAAAGTCCTAGTTCACTCTCTGTCTTCAATTTTTATGAATATGGCTGGTCACCCCACTCTACCTCAAGCACTTCCACTAGCTAGCTGCCTTACTTGTAAAGTAATTACAAAAATAATTTTCTATAGTGAGATGAAAATTTAAAACCATGCATAGGATGACGCATATTTACAACCATAACTACATCACATTTGCTTTATCTTAATTTCTAGTTGATACCTAACCAGCAGTCATGGCTTAGAAGATTTTAGTTTCGAGTTTCTCCCTCCACTAACTACTT